TTTCGGGGAAATCTTGGTTTTTGATTCTTAGTTTGATACAAGGTCCTAGGACCTCCTTCCAGACTATGTCTTGAGTACAACTTACGTTATGTTGAGCTAGTATGTCAGTATGTCAATTTGAAGTGGTTGAGTTGTTTCAAGCAAAACTCATGTTTATGAGGTTTCGACCAATATTCCCAGACAGTGCCATTGAAGAAATCGAACACCATGTCATCTACTAAGCCATCTCACATCATCCAGGTGTTTTGTTGGTTTTCTCATGGTCTGAGCACCTTCCCAGAAAGTTTCTTAAACCATGGAAAGAAATACAACACAGCCACGGCTCGAAAATAGAATAGGCAAACAAGCTTCAGCATGGACTTTGAAGTTTGTTTTCAAAACAACCTCCTCCGCTGTATGCCTGGCCTTGAATGTAAAGCTATTTTTAATGAGACTTGCAGCTGCGCAAAGTTATAAAGGAGTCCAGTGTCCAGCATCTTTCTGAAAGGAATATAAAGTTAATTTCAAGGAGACTCACAGCTGTACAAAGTTTGTTGAAGAGGTAAAGGAATCTATGGAAGGAGGACAGCACTGCTTCAGAATGGAATCCTTGGAGCACCAATGTTTTACGATTATAGTATTCCTTACAGAAAGTATTGGTGCAAGTGTGGGCAGAGCTTCCTGCAAGAGGGAGTGCAGCATGTGATTGAAAAGCATGCAATAATGCAAAGACGCATTACTATGAAGTAGAATCCTTGGATGTAGGTAATATTTTCTGAAAGAAACAGATCATGGTGGTATGTGTGCAATATGCCTTCCATATGAATCAAATATCTGAACAAAACAGGCAACATTATTTCGTTATTTTAAAGCAGTGAATGTCCTTAAAAACAAATGTCATGCAGAAAAAAATAAGAGGGAGGCTGAGCTTCATTAAAGGATGTATTGCATCCTTCCACATATTGTGACTTTTTTCTGCAAGAATACTGCGTGCTACTTAAGGGAATACCTTGTCTTCAATGCAATTATTTTGGAGAAATTAATCTTTCTTTACAAAATATCATATGAAATAAATGAGGGGAAGGCTGAACTTCATTAAAGGATAGCATTTTTCCACACATTGTAGTTTTCTTGCAAGAATATTGCCTCTTATTTAAGGGAACATTTATTTATTTTGTATGTCATATATATATACATAAATATTATGTTTTGTTTCTCTTTTCCTTGTCATCGACCACACACTACCAAAAAGATAGGTATATAGCGGGGGGGGTAGCATATATATATATATATATGTATATATATATATATAGCGGGGGGGTAGCATATATATATGTATATATATATACATAATATGATATATTATATATTATTTAAATGTTATTGGAAAGATCAGCTGACACAGCGCCGTTGTTTGTCAGCACATGTTATGTTTTCAGGTCGCTCCAAATTCTCAGGTGACCTCAATCAAGTTCCTTGACCAGGTGGCCGGGTTTACGAATGGAGGGTCGGAACTAGAGATGCGGAGCCAATTGGAGCTAGAAATATAGAGTTTCCCAAGCACATGATAGAAATTCTACAGATATCTTTATATATATACATAAGTTAGTACTTGAGTATTTGATTTGCTGATGATATATAAGTTAGTACTTGAGTATTTGATTTGCTGATGGGCATATTTATTAGACCCCGTTCTTTAGTTCAGAAACTGTGTTTGCAGGGTATCTAGGCTTCGCCCTGATGGAACATGGATTCACCACAGCCAGCTGTAAGTGTAAAAGGCTTTACTCTGGTTGGTGCTTCGGAACATTTTTTTTCCATATATTGGGAATTTCATCATCCCAACTGACGGACTCCTATTTTTCAGAGGGGTAGGTATACCACCAATCAGTACTTCTTTGTCGTACTTGCTTTATTGCTTGGTTCCTTTCCAACGCTTGCGTCCGCACAGCTGCAGTTTGGTCGGTGAAAACCACGAATTTCGGAGTATCCTCTTGGTAATCGAACATGGAAAAACACCTATGTTTCATAGTAATCATCAACAAGAGAGCCAGTGTAGCAATGTTAGATCATCATCAAGAGGGCCATATTCCATAGCCATGTTACATCATCAGAGGCTAGTTCTGTTGGTCAGAGATGAGGGCAGAATTTTGGAGCTGATCTCCATTGAGACGCATAAAACCTGGTTGGTGGTTTGGACCATTTTTTATTTTTCCATATATTTGCAGTTATGGCCATTTATTAGTTATAAGTACTAACAAAACCCCATTTATAGAATGTTTGTTATCCCATTGAAATAACCAGTTAATTCACTGGTTATAACTGGCCATAGCTGTGGAATTTCATCATTCCAACTGACGAAAGGTCCCCTGAGATCCAACGAATCCATGTAGATCAAAAACCAGCGAAGACCTCAACGGACCTGGGATGCGGGGCCGGGGGATGCCGGGGGGCCTGCCCCCCGGCCTGGTAAACGTTAACAAAAAGCTATTGAAAATTTGGCCCAGTCGAAATAGTGGATAAATTCCCAGCTATAAAATGGTGGATCAAGATCCAGTTCGTTATGTTAGTCATTACCAGAGGGTAGATCATCAACCAGTCCTTAGATCTCTCAGAAATGGATTGAGCTAGTTGATCATCATTTTCACCATTGAAATGACCCTCCGTTGTCATCAAGCATGGCTAGAAAATCCATTGATCATCCCTCATGAAGTTCGAAGTTTCATGGTTCTCCCAGCTATCAACATCCACTCAACGTAGATTCTGGAGCCACTTTTGATGAGACTGGAGGGTTAAGTAGGTTAGTAATAACCATTATAAATCATTATGAACCACTAGTAATCACTAGTCACTAGTAACCACTATTAGCCACTATCAACCACTATTCACCACTAATTACCTATTAACCAATACTATACTATTCACCACTAACATGCTTTTACCACTATCTATTAACCACTATTTACCACTGGATGGTTGGGGGTACCTGCACCCGGTGGCAGGGCTCCAGGGTTGTCCTCTTTGCCTGCACCCGACAGAGTGTGGCTCTCCGTTACGACTTGTTCCCGTGCTGGGGTGAAAACGGTTACAACATGGTTAATGATTAATTAACACAATAACTTTATTAATTGATCTTAATTGATGTTAATGGATATTAATAAAGATATTATTTGATACTAATTGATAATAAGTATCAATAACTTAATAATCACCATGAACGGTTCACAATGGACTAAAAATAGTTAATTAGAAATCCATACCATTCATGGTTAATGACTTCATGACATAATGGTTTTCATCAAACGTGGCTGGCGGGAACATCCACTAGCCATGAAGCTTTGAATCGGAAAATCATCTATAATATACAGAACATTATATACCCTCTGGTAATGACTAACATAACTATGGAAAGATCCACCATTTTATAGCTGGGAATTTATCCACTATTTCGACTGGGCCATGTTCAATAGCTATTTTGACATAACCAGAGGGTACATAATTGTTCCATTGCGAGGTTTGATTTCCATGTTCTACAAACTGGGGCGAGGTGAAGGATTTCAGATCTTGACTCCGCAGCTGTTGGTTTGTGGTTGATCGTCCAAGGAGCAAGCGGAACTTTAAACAGACACGAATTATTTCCTTCATTTTCCTGAAAAACCTGACAATTTCAGACAAAGAATAAGAAACTGCATTGTAACTGCATGCAGTTATGTAAGTTATGCGTCATTAATGGCCAGTATGTGGCAAGCATAGCAAATTTACAAGCCATTCAATACAGCATCGACACGTTTTTCCATTTTACGGGGTTTCCATTGATTTTCACGGGGATTTCCTGGGGCTATGTTCCTTGAAAAACCCACAATTCTGGGTGAAGACATGGCCAGGAAACAGCAAGGCTTCCAAGTTCAAGGGGATGGTTCAATGCTTTCTGCAAATTCTAATGTGTAATGTCAACCCTGGATTAATAAACCCCGTTTACGGCTGTGACTATTTGGGGGGGATACCATTTATGTATCATATTGTGACTCTTTGGAGGGTACCCCCACAATTACCCTCTGGTAATTTAACATAGCTATGGAAAATCACCATTTTTAATGGGAAAACTCACTATAAATGGCCATTTTCAATAGCTATGTTAGTTTACCAGAGGGTAATAAACCATGGTTTATTAATCCGGGGTTGACATTACTTGGATCTGAGCTGTCCATCTTCCCAGTCGATTTTTGAGCTGTCCGTCTTGGAGCCAGGGCCAGGGTTTTCACCCCATAGAAGTTCCTGGAAAAGTTTGAATTGCTTTTAGAATATTGAGAATATACTCCCAGAATTGGTTTTAGTGATATATTGAAACCGGAGATCCCTATATTTTGAGAGTACTCGTTATAAACAGGATTTCCGGTAGTTTTTCCTAAGAGTTTTACGCAGCCATTTGATCAGCCGAAATCGGACTTGTCCAAAGATTTCCGCTGCGCTGAGGTTTGTTCCTGGCGAGTTTGGGAAGGCGGCAACGTCACCAGCCAGGCGTCGAGAGGGAAACTGTTGGGAAAAATCTCTGGGCACATTTTTTCTGGGAAAAGTCTGAAGAAGTCCTAGCTGGCTGGGCTTGAAAATGCTGGGGAAGTGATAGAAAGTGATGGAACATATATGAAAATATGATGTTTCCACACTCTCGACCAACAAAAATGTTTCCATGACCCTCAACATAGCCAACTTTGGCGGAAACTCATCTTCCAACCCTCAACTTGTGGCAGGGTCTATGTTTAGTTGGGGGAGGGAGGGTAAACTGATTTGGGTATGGATCAATACCTATTATTACCATTTTTAGTGGGTTATTCACATCCATAAATCCCAGCTATTTTGATGTGAACTACAGGGGTACTATTGGTTTTGACACACTGCCATTTAAGCAAACAAAACATTCAACTATGTTAAACTGATTTCATCATATTTCATCTATGCTCCCCTGGTGTCTTTCAGTGGAAAACAAATCCCTACGACGATTTTCTCAGCGGTAGGAGATCCGCATGCTGAATTTGGATGCGGCCGGCGGCTCCTTGCCGATGTGTAGCTGCCCCTTTCCGGGAATGAACGTTGCTTGGATTGAGAGTGCGGGAGGGGATATGGACCAACAGTGGTTGCAACAGTGGGTGTATGCAACAAATATGATAGCAACATGTAACAATGCATAGCACAGTATTTTCCAAATATCTGACACTATCTAACAACATATAAAATACGCTAGTATATGCTAGTATGATTCAACAAAAGCAGTGTATCAAATTAACAGGTGTCACGGTGACAAAAAATGTATCTTGGAAGTAGCTTGCATGGCATGCCTATTCAACCGCAGCAAAGCCAAGCCCCCCCCCGGGCAGTCACTTTTGGGGGTTAGCTGAATTTCCCTTGATTCTTGCAGCATCACATCACCATCACCATCACCACCACCACCACCACCACCACCATCATCATCATCATCATCACCATCATAATCATATCCTCGTCGGTATTGTCGTCGTCATCAGGATAATCATCCCATCCCACATGAAAGACCCTCTGGGACCCCTTGAAAAAACCATGGCTTTGTCGATACTAACAGATGTACCATACTAACTGGGGGCTGTTTGAGGCTAAAAAGGGATGGGATTCGAAGGTGAAACCCCAAGCATATAGCCACAATAGGACGGGACCATACCATCCATGGTCCCCTGGTTTCACTGGTTTCACCCGATTTTTCTACGGCCAGGCTCTGTTGGTGGCCAAACCTGATGCGGTCTTTGCCTACGATCCGGATGAGGGGAACATGTCAGCGATGCCCCTGGACGGTCAGAAGCTGTTGCTGGAGCAGTTCAAGTCCTATTTCGTGGCAGGGTCACCCAGATCTCACGTGGCCGGGTCACTTGGTGTATCAAAATCCCGACATGAAAAAAAATGACTATCCAAACCTTGCGTTGGACGATGTTGGACGTCACCCCATTTCTGTAATGAAAACCCCATGCTGGTTGGTGGTTTGGAACATGACTTTTGTTTTCCATAATATATGGAACAATCCTTCCTATTGACTTTCATATTCTTCAAGATGGCTACTGCAACGCCAACCAGCATGTGCAACCATCAAAATCATGGGTATTTCAGGCCACAACTGACGGTCGCAGCCGGGTTGTTTTACCATCGACCAGCGATCGCTGCAAACTCCCATGTGTTTTTTTTTCCATCTCATACTGTTGGTCTTGTCACATATGTCTCTCAAAAAATATTACCTCCCCATGATATTAAACATATCATCAAATGGTGGTATCCATAGATTCATCATTGATAAATTGATATTTTCCTGCCTTTGTTGGTTTGATCATCTTTGTCGTCCCTTTTGCATGCAGGTGGTCACGAAGGACGATGCGACGCCCAGTTTCACAGCAGGGTCGCTGCTGCCCAGCGGTGCGGTGGATGACATACCCTCCAGTAGACTAACATAGCGAAAATGGACCATTTAGAGATGATTTACCTATTAACAAAGTGTTTTTTTTCGTAGTAAACTGTTAAGGTTACCAAATAGGGTACAACATGGTACAACCATTTTATGGCTATATTATTTGACCAATTAAGTGAGAATGTTAACAGTGGAAAGGAATGAGAATATAACCATATATAACCCATTTTATGCCGAATCTGATGTTTTGAGTGGGGAAGCGTCAGGCAACAGCGTCGACATGGGTAGTAGGGGTACCTATCCCAAAATGACCTTACTTCTGGCCGATGTGTTAGTGTTTCTCCATGTTTACGGTATGATTCGATTCTGGTGAACTATGAAAACGACCCCTAGAGCTGAACATGGCAATTTTAATTAAAAGTCGTAGTGTTGCTGCACATGTTGTTTAATTTGTAGCCCCCTATCATGTCATCCTCGTAAAAAAATGATGCAGAAGAGCTTAAACGCCTACTAAATCTAACGGTAAAGAGTTCCTCCAACCAATCATTCCCAAAATGGCCCGACTGAAGCCATGACTGTAGTATATGATATACTTGATGGCTCACTCCATTGAGTAATAGATTATGGCACCAACTCACAAGTGGATCAAGCGTACCCAACTTTTAAGATAAGGTATACTGGCCTACTAAGCATATAGTATAGGATGAAGCACCAAATAGTCTTAACAGCCGATTGATAAACCCTTTGTTGTTTAATTCGGGGGATCCATGTCAATATCAATCTGAATGCAGGGTTGATAGGACCCAACACTGGATGTGGAAAAGCCACAACATTTGTAGATCTTTTTTTTTCTGGGAAACCATGGGATTTTACATATATATGTTTTTTCCTATTGTTGGATTATATGGATAATATATGTGATTATTGTTGGATAATATGGATAGCTGGTTGGTGGTTTCAAACATTATTTATTTTCCATTCAGTTGGGAATGTCATCATCCCAACTGACGAACTCCATCATTTTTCAGAGGGGTAGGGCTCAACCACCAACCAGATTATTATTAACCATCATTAACCACATAATAACCATCATCATTATCCATTATTAACAGTGTATTTTCCATGTCATTATCACCCCAGGCCAACCCATATACAACCCAGTGAGTTTTATTGCTGCATGGCTGCTTCCGCACTCCTGGCACCGAATTTTTGTCGGCTTCGAGTTACTCTCGTCATGAGGAGACGGTCAGTCAGCACGGTTCCTTCCATCACACTGCCCTAAATTTAAGTGGAACCCAATGGAACCCACAATTTACCCTCTGGTTATGACTAACATAGCCATGGAAAATCACCATTTTTTATAGGTAAACCATCTATTTCTATGGGAAATTTCCCATGGCTATGTTAAATAACCTGAGGGTATTTGGTTTGGAAGATGATTTTCCGCACTTGGATATGGCAATCAGATGCAGCAGAGCGCACGTCTGTGAATAGGCTACCTCTCAATTTGATGCCTGCTCTCACTGTCTCCACTGTTTCAGACAGACCCATATATCGTATATCGCTGGTCGGTGGTTTGGAACATGAATTTTATTTTTCCATATATTGGGAATAGTAATCCCAACTGACTTTCATATTTTTCCGAGGGGTTGAAACCACCAACCTGATCGTATTATCCCAATTGCATTCCCCTTTACCATTCGATCCTTGATTCCATGAGATCCCAATATCATCATATTCCATCCCCATTAATTGAAGTTTAGATCCTTGGATGGTTATAATATTTTTAATCTCCACTAAATTTCAATATGAGGTATAATCCCATAGAGATATCCATAATACCATCAAATTCGATATCCCAGTCATAATCCCATTAAATGTCATTAATCTCCTTAACAGTAACTAGAAATAAGATATACTATAGATATATCACAAAAAAGTGATATTAAATCTCCATTAAGTCGTGTAACATCATACAACTACATCATACAACTGTACCCTCTGGTAAACTGACGTAACTATGGGAAATCACCATTTTTAATGCGTAAATCCATTATAAATGGCCATATTCAATAGCTATGTTAGTTTGCTAGAGGGTAAATGGAAAGAATCACCGAGGGGCCTCCTCATTTTTTTCGCAGACCTGTGAGGCCATCCTCGATGCCAAAACAGACGGCGACTGGGACCCAAAAACCTCTGGCTTTTGTATATCATATCCTAGTTGGGGGGTTCAAATACCCTCCGGTAAACTAATATAGCTATTGAACATGACTCATTTATAGATAGTTGACTTTCTAAACATTCTAATTTTCAATGGATATATTGGTTTGATAGAGGGTATGTATTGTGTTTTCACCCATACTTGGGATGATTAGTTGAGATGAGTTTTTTAACCACCAAGCAGTTTAAAAAACTGACAATATGATGCTTGCGTGTGTCTTTCCAAGGCATGATGATCATCCAATGGGCAATCCGAGAAATCCCTGAAAAATCACCAGGAGAGATTGCCATTTTTTAGGACCGGTTTAGGTTTAAAACATGTTTTTTTATGAAGCCTGGCTCCTTTTTGGTGGACTTGGACTTTTTTTTTGGAAGCGTTTTTTTCAGTTTCATGATGAAAAAGCAATGTGGCTTGTTTTTGGACGGGCTCTCGTTTGTTGAACTGCACTTGCATCGCCTGTGGCAAGAATTTGTTTGGTAAATTTAGAGAAAGCACTGAAAGAGTGGTAAACCCAAATGCCATAAACAACTAATTGCCATTTGGGGATGGTGTTTACCCACATACTATTGAATACTGATGTAGATGGACAAAATATTCCAAAGTTCCATCTTAATGTGAATTGAGGTGCGTTAGCTCCAATGGACAAAAAAATCAACCCTCCTAATGACGTCACTTTGGCTAACAGCCACCGAAACGTTGAGATTTGGGGGGTGGAGGGTTCAACACAGAGTCGGTTGCAGGGTTTGAATATTGTGTCCATCTACAGTAGGGAATAATTCGGAATAATCATTATCGGGTTTACCACATTACACGTGGTATGCGGGCTTCCTGTACAATTTCCTTTAGGATTAAGCTAACAGGGAATGTGGTTTCAAGTATGATATATATGATGTTCAGTTCTTGTATGATGTTCCGCCCTTTGGGTAATGAGGAAAACCTAAATCTATTAGGTCAATCAGCATTTTCCCCAATCAAAATAGCCACTTTGGGAGTGTTTTCGATATCCCATTTTCAGACAGATCCATATTTTCAGTGGGGCTCTGCTCAGTTTCAGCACCCAGCCGGTGCTTGCGGCCCTGAGAGTATTTGATCTCAAGGGTTTTGATCCGACCGTTGAACGTCTATCTGCAACCATGGGCGGAGTCTATCGAGAGGAACCACAAGCAACCGGAGAACGTGGACGTGGGTGTTTGATGGGTGTGTGTATACCATGTGTATATGTAAAAGATACAAAATGTAATAAATATATATATATATACTTACATATGTATATATAATTATATATATATATATGTCTACATATATATACATATATATATATCACAAATGAAACACTATTTGCTTTTTATAATGATATATATATAAGGTAAATATAACATAGCAATATTACATAATATAGTAAAATATAATATAATTTAATATAACATGATATAGTATGATATGGTATAGTATCAAGATAAGATGATATATTTTACTATAATATGATATGATATGATATACGTATGTTATGGTATAGTATATGCATGTTATGATATAGTACCAGTATAATATAATATCATATCATATTATATAATTTCATATCATATAATTTATATAATTATACATATAAATATAAACATAAATATAATATGATATGTGTTATTCAATTATAAAACAATACAATGTCATATAATAATATGATATTATTATTATTATATAATAATAATATTAATAATATATATATATATATATCTATACGGCCATTTTATTTTAATAGGGAAACTGATGGGCAACCCTGAAACGGATGGGGGCAACGCCTTGTTTTCAGGCAACCGGATTCATAACATGATTTCGTTGCACTGGGATCATTTGACCCCAGTGCATCAGCCCAAAACACAAAAAGGGACATACTTCAGTGCCGCCAAAGTAGTGTATACATATATCGATAATAGTGGTGACTATGGTTGACTATGATTGACTATATATATAATATATACAAAACACTTCAGTGGCGCCATATATACATATCGATTGTAGCAAGGTCTGTATCGAAAAAAAGTGGTTGACTATGGTTGACTAGTACTGGTGATTTCAAGAAGTGTGTTTCCTGGATCCATCCTGGGATGATTCCCGACCTTGGGATGTTGGGAGTCAGCAAGCGCCAGGAGTTAACGTCCTCGCGCTTGCATGCAAACCGATTCTTCTTCACAGCACAGGCTGGGTCAGTTGGGAGGTCGGAGATGTTGGGAGCTGAGTCTGATATACAGCCAAAACCCGATCCCCAAAGAATCAAATGGAAATGGTTTAGATTCGTTTATAGTGGTTTATATGATTTTATGTATATATAGATATATAATTATATGGTTTATAGTGGTTTATTTGATTTTATGTGTATATATATAATTATATGGTTTATAGTGGTTTATTTGATTTTATGTGTATTGTGTATATATATATATAATTATATGGTTTATAGTGGTTTATTTGATTTTATGTGTATATATATAATTATATGGTTTATAGTGTTTGTTTATGATTTTATATGTATATATATATGGTTTATAGTGGTTTACATTATTTTATGTGTATATATATAATTTTATATATATATATGGTTTTTAGTTAGTGGTTTATATAATTTTATGTGTATATATCTATTTATATATTATAGTTGGTTATATGATTTTATTGGTATATATTTATGTGTGGTTTTAGTGGTTTATATGATTTGATGTGTATACATATATATATATGGTTTATAGTGGTTTATGATTTTATGTATATATATATAATAGTGGTTTATATGATTTTATGTGTATATATATAATTATATGGTTTATAGTGGTTTACATGATTTTATGTGTATATATATATATAACTATATATATATATATGGTTTTTAGTGGTTTATATAATTTTATATGTATATACTTATATATATATATATATATATTTAGGGTGGTTTATATGATTTTATTGGTATATATATATATATACGGTGTATAGTGGTTTATATGATTTGATGTGTATACATATAGATATGGTTTATAGTGGTTTATATGATTTTATGTTTTTATATATATATATATCTAATGTTGGGTAACGCATTCTTACGGGAAAAACGCATGTCAGAACAGCGATCGTTCCGAAGGGTCATGTTTGAATAAATCCACCGTTTTCTTTTGGCACAAGATGGAGAAGCTGCCGCATCATGGGGGAGTAGGGAAACTGCAGCATAGAGTTTTTTGTCAATAGTAGTTGCTTTTAGCACGCACTTACTTAGGCCAATTTCATCGGGTTGTTGTTTCAGCACACTGATCAATCTTTGCGTTACTTTGCATTGCAAAGGGGGTGTCTTCCAAAAAAAGTTCCACCAGGTCTGAGGTCATCATCAATGGGTATTCCAACCGGCCCATCGTTCTCACCTAGTGTTTGTGTTCTCAGTAGGCCAATTATTGTTTTCATGAGAGGAATCGTTTCTGGTGGACGATCGCCTAATTTTTTTCCCGGACGTTTTTGATCAAAAAAAAAGGCTCAGAAGGATCCCGGTGGGAATGGGTGTTGCGTTTCAGAGGGGGAAAAAACAAATTCTCCATTCTCAGCCGGCAATCGCTCTCAGTGACCAGCATCGTTCTCAAGGAAAGAAAATGAACGGTTTTTACCAGATTTTTTCAGCTGAGTTGGGGCAGGGGACAGGAGTGTGTACTTTGGTGTGCAACGTGCACGCATCGTGCTCAGCAGCACTGACTGTGCTTTCTTACGAACACCGATCATTCTCACGAACACCGCATCCATGGACTTGGGGTTAGACTGATTTGGGTACCTAAAGCGGTTCTCCAGATCAATCATAACAAATTATTAAGTTTTTCCGTTTTTCCTTCAGGAATTTGGTTCATATTCAGCAAAGGGTTACCTGAAATTTGATTGCAGCAGCTATGACCTCCATAGGTTGAGATTCCTTTGGAAAGGGTTTGCGTTTTGCCTGTATGAAGGATGCTTCGTGTGAACTTTTGGGCATTCTATATGTTTATTCAAAAATATGCAAAGTTGAAACAGCCCTTCGGAATGGGCAGGGTTTCATATATATATATATATATTATAGTGGTTTATATATGATTTGATGCATATATATATATATGTCTTATAATGGTTTATATGATTTGATGCTATATATATAGTTATAGTGCTTTATATGATTTGATGCATATATATATATGACTTATAGTGGTTTATATGATTTGATGCTATATATATATATATATTTAGTGGTTTATATGATTTTATGTATATATATATATATTTGGTGTATAGTGGTTTATGATTTTAAATGTATATATATATATATATATAATTATATATGTTTATATTGATTCTATTCCCCGGAGCCCACATTGCCACCTTGCCACCGGAGGGCCATCACGTGATGCCATGGATCTGGCCATGGCGCCTCAGGAAGACGAAGACCCTGAGATCGTTCGGGAGAAAGCTCGTAGGGCGCGGAGCCTTAGGGCACGAAGCTGGCACAACGAGGGAAAATTCGAAGTGCAAAATGGTGCAAACATAGGGAAAAACCCGGAAAACCATGGGAAAATGGTGATTGTCCATGTAAATCATTTTTTTTTTGTGGGTAAATCAACTACTGGTTGGTGGGTTTGGAACATTAATTTTATTTTCCATTTCATATATGGGATGTAATCCTTCCCATTGACGAACTCATATTTTTCAGAGGGGTAGGGCTCAACCACCATCCAGATCATTATGGATTTTGTACCCTCAGGTTATTTAACATAGCCATGGAAAATGGCCCATAGAAATAGATGGTTTACCTATTAAAAATGGTGATTTTCCATCGCTATGTTAGTCATAACCAGATGGTATTTATAATGACGTTATAAGGATTCCCCACCAAAAAGGATGGATGATCATCCACCATATTTACACAGAACTATGGATGGTCATGGCTCAGAATCATCCCGTGACACCGCTTTTTTATTGGTCACTGGGCACCTGTAACATGCTGTTCCCCTATAAATCCGGTTGACTCAAAAGAAAAACTCTCCAAATTAGGGTGGTTCATAACCACTCTTAACAGTAAATAGTGGTGATGGTCAAAAAATCGTAGTGGTTAACCGGTGAACCCATTATTCACCACTATTCACCGCTGTTGACACAATGGGAAAACAGAACCTGACGGACGCCTGGCAAGCCGGCGTCAGGTTCGAGCCTTGGGCTTAGAACCTCCGCGATCTGCTCATTTCAGGCGGTGATTTTGATGGCCGGGCCTGGCTCCGGACTGGTGATTCTGATTGTACCCTCTGGTTATGACTAACATAGCCATGGTATAGATGGCCCATTTATAGATTATTTTCCCATTAAAACCTCCATTTATTAGGGATTCTCCATGGCTTTGTCAAATAACCAGATGGTTATTTCATGGGATCATTCATGGTGTAGCATATGGGAGCAACATTTTTCATGGGTGAGTGGATTTTGTGTTAAGCATCATTTGCCCAGATTTATGGATATGAAATGATGTGAATCAGCCCCTTCAACATGGATGATATCTGCATTTGAGATAAGATTTAGCTGAAACATATGGATTGAAACAGGGGAAAGCTCATGTTTGATGGTATAAAAACGGGATTTATATAACATTATATAACCAACTTGATATGATATTTTTTTTGTCTGAAAATTGTTTTTTTCCCCGAGAACAGCAATTTTTCAGTGGGGAAAATGATGAAATCCACCAGTGGATTTAGAGGTACCCGGTCGCCAATTCTCGGACAAAGAGTTCCTTAGCGGTATCAACATTTTGATTCCCAAGTGTTCACCGTGAAAAAAAAGTATGGAACCGGACATGGATAATTATTTTATATTACAGTATATTATTTTACAAATTTTGATCTTAATTGATCTTAAAGCTAAAAGCAAATAAAGAGTTCTCAGTTCGCTTGAATTCAGGAAGAACATGAGATACTCGTATACTCTCTTTGATTTTGATAGTGGACATTCCTGGCATCAGGGTCTCATGATCTCCGCTCCGAGGGTCCCAGGTAGCTTGTTTGATGATTCTTATGATTTAAAGATTCCTTATACCATGTTTTAGTGCTGTGACCCCCATCATTCCTGGTAGCGGGTTGCCATTGCTTTCCTATTTGGAGGTGTCCATCATTTATAGATGGATTTTCCATTGTAATCCATCCAGCTATTGGGGTCCCATCATTTATGGAAACCTCGATTTACCTTTTTGGCAAGGTAAGGTTCACATAGCTCCCAAGAGAAGATTTTGCGCGGTTGAGAAATCGTCGACGACCAGTATACACCCATGGACCATGGATACCCGATACGGTAAACGAGGTTAGCTGGGAAATTCCCGAACTGCAAACCTAAATGGAGGCTTTGATGGGAAAGTCACAGATGAATTTTCTGGCAAATCATGTTTGATTTCTGGAGGACATTGCGATTTTATAAAATGTTGTCCTGAATTCTCGGAGTTTTCTCATTCTCTGAGAGGTATCGATTCTCATTACTTCCTGGATCACATGGACCCCCTTTCAGCAAAGAGGAGGAGTCGAAAGATGACTTGCCCATTGAGTTCAGAACATTTCAGAACCTCCCTTTTCAGAAAGTGCAAGCATTCCAAAATATTCCAAAGCCCTCTAATGTGGTTTGTCAACAATGCCATCAACCACGCTATGTTTGATGGTTTATACCCATAAGAAAACTGGTGAATTTGGGAATCCAATGATTCCATATGATTCCATGACATGAAAGCTAAGCTTTCCAGTGGTGTTTGATTTCACATAGGCTAAAATGGAGGAAACTGGCTATATCACTATATCATATCTCCCCCAAGACAAACTGGCTATATATATATATATACACATAATATGTATGTATGTATTATATATATAGATATATATATATACATACATATTGAAGATATACACCATTTTCAAACAAACGCAATGTTGAAGAACCTCAACAGTTCAAGCTCCAGCTGGGACCCACTTTCCGGTGCTTTCCGCTGATCTGCCATGCACCCTTTTGAATCACCAGGCAGTTTGCACGTCGACAAGGGTTGATGACCGATGTGGTCGAGCAGGTGGGGATTGAATGGTTGGGAAAATGGTTGGGACACATGTCGTGAATGCCTAAAGTGAATAGGAACAACAAAATTGAAGTCTTTGGTTTGGTTTTTTTCGCCACTTCGTATGGCTATTTAATGATGATATATGATATGATTTTCCGGCCAGATTTCATCATTACATTTACATTCAAGGATTTATGGATCATATTGGGGAGAGATATGACAAAAGGAGCCCCAGTTCGTGAGCTAAGTTGGTTTGCAACTAGATTAGCTAGGGTTTATTCTCATTATAATCATAGTCGAGGTTTCCTAAAACGGTACGCCAAAATCGTCCTTTTGAACAGGATTTTCCCATTATAAACCATCCAGCTATTGGGGATACCCCCATTTATGGAAACCTCCAGATTCGGTTATAAACCAACTTATCAATAGGGGACCACCTTATAGTGAAGAGCTGAAGTCGAACCCCCGGCGTCGGATCGACTGTGGACTCTTTCTCTGCTCAGAGGGTGATGGTTCTTTTCGGTTTTCGGGCACGATGTGATTGAAACATATCCTACCCCCTGGTTCCTACGTTTACATAACTATGGAATGATCCACCATTTTCAATAGCCATGTAAACGTTTACCAGAGGGTGCATGATCAGCTAACCTCACATGATGATCTATAGTCTATAGCCATAGTAGGGATCTGGAGACAGTGGATGGCTTCCCAATAATCAATTTCCAGGCCATTTGCATTGAATTTCACTGGGGCAAAAAGACAACAAATTTCTTATTGTTTGCTTACCTTCAGTTATGGCCCTTTTACCAGTTGTAGGTCAGCTACAACCCCATTTATCGAATGACAACCAAATGTATACCGGTTATGATCACTTATAACTGGTAAAGGTGTTTGGCATAGATATAGTTTATATTGAATAGTTGTCCCGTGCGGTATTTTAAAGATGCAAGACTCTGTGTGTCTGATGCGATTGGGCATGCTGAAAACAGACCCATGCTACAATTTCCATGGTGGAGCAATTCAATGTCCTTCAAGGCTACATTTCTCGTACACCAATCCCCGTAGAACCCACGGAAAATCTTCCGCGAGGCACAGACAGACGTCGTTGTGCCACGCCAAAGCTCGCCCACCGGAGCCAGCCACGGCGACGGTGCGCCGGTTCTGAACTTCTCAGCCAAGCAGATCTATTAAGGTTAGCTAATGATGATATGGGGGTTTCCATCAATGGCTACCCCAATAGCTGGATGGTGTATAATTTATAGTGGAAAATCCTTTTCAAATGGATGATTTGGGGGTACCCCCATTTTAGGAAACATCCATCATCATCCATCTGATTATATGGACGTTTCCTAAAATGAGGGATCCCCAAAAACCATGGGTTTCAATACTAAAACTGTCAAATGACTTGGATGACATCAATAGACAACATCAACATACAACACCAATATGCATTGGGTTTGTTCTATTCAACATCTTTATATAGCTGGTATTGATATGTATTGATCATCTTCTCAACATTGTATTATTTACCGAGCACTTGTCAATATATTGATGATTATATGGAAGTTTCCTAAGTCATGGGGGTATCCCTATAGATCATCCATTTTAAGAAGATTGTCCACTATAAAACCATCCAGTTATTGGGGACCTCGCATCTATGGAAACCATCACATCACATAGATCCATATAGACCCATATAGGTATAGGGTTATTTATGGCTGTACTATCCAATATTTTGGGGACTATTCTATTGTCATTATTGGTTAGAATGATTATACTATCCAATATATATATATATATATATAAAAACTGGGATTATCATATTTGGATTTTTGCTTTGATTATGGTGAATCAACCTATAATCACCATAATAGCACCAATACTTGATTATTATAACCAATATGGTGTATTACCATATTTGGATTTTTGCTTTGAGTATACTATTCAATACTATTCAAATATGGTGCTTGATGGTCATAAAAATATGGCTTTTAGCATGTTTTAGCCATCAACATATGGAGATATAGGTGGATAACAAGGCGATACATGGTATTAATGCTTTGATGATATCCAGCATTTGATATGAAATTATTAGGGTTTATGTTAATTAATGTTAATTAGTTGTGCTATCCAGTATTTATAATAATGAGGTAATACGTCATGAATATACTATCATGATCTGTTTTACTATCCAATATATTGGGGGTTGTCACAGCTCATGAATTGAGAATCCCTCTTTACCATTGGCCATTAAATAAGTGAGGACATCAAATAGGTGTGTATATAATTGTATATATATATACATGTGTGTGTGTGTTGGGATATCTAACCTCTCACTATGATGGTTGGGTTTATTTAGCAATTGCTCACACCCCTGTTGATGTGAATCCATAGGCTGTGGTCGATGCAAATCCTCACGTGAGAGTACCTTGACATTAAGTAAGTACTCCGCAAACATGAAAAAAACAAAATGTATGTAAACGTGCTAGATGTTTTGGGTTAGATACACCATAAGTGTTTCTACATGTTTCCCATGTTATTGAATGCTTTTGAGGGTCTTGGTGCAGCATCTGTACATGTGTTTTTTTCGCTATGGTTTTGTTGTGGATTCTGAACTTCGGTGACTTGATTTTGCGAGCCTTTCACCAGAACCTCAATCTCACTGAATTGGTGTAAGGAAAAATTGGAACCGGGAAGCCCATACGAATCATGGGAAAATCGATGGTTTCCCAGTAGATTTCCCTTTCCAATCCAGCGATGTTCATCTTAGATTTTGGGCTTTGAATTCCAATGGATTTCAGTCAGAAGATGGTCCTGGAGGATCTGGAACACGAAAATTGCCATGCATTTTCTTGGATGTTCATTCTCCAAAGATGATCACACTTGTTCATGATACCCTCTGGCAATTTGACATAGCTGTGGATGCTCACCATTTTCGATAGGTAGTTGAAATGGACTATGGTTTCGATAGCAAAGTCTCAACTTACCCTTTTGGGGGTTGTCGCAGGCAGCACTGTGAAGCGTGATACAAGCGAAGACGAGGTCGGGAGGGTATCCATGGGTATCCCATCCCTCTAATGTGAAAAAAAATCCCCAGAAACCATGGTTTTTTGTAGATGATGACCCCACATATTTTGCCGTTTTTTTTTTCCCATAGGGGGATTGGATTCAGCAACAATCAGGATTGAAGTGATTTAAGCATCAGGAAACCAGTGAAAAAGCCACAGTCCAGGTGGTTTATGATTTTTCAACAGCTACTTTAATGTGCTGTTGGGCTGTTGGGGTGATGTGAAGCATGAGAAATAAGAGTTCCCACAAGTTGGACTATGGGCCCCCGCAATGTTCATGGGTAATCAACAGTTCTTCCGATTTGGGTTTACCCGTTCAGCCCGGAAAATTCAAGTGATCAGAAATGCTCCTATTTGGCGATTCCGCAATGATGAGAATATCCGCAGTGGAGCTCAGGATCTCCGGTGATGCTGAGGGAAAATGCATCGGATTGGAATGTGTTTGAATTTACAGGCTCTTGCCCACTCTCTTTGAAGAAAATGGTTTCAAAGCTGATTAATTTTTGGTTCAGTTATGGCCATTTACCAGTTATAACTGGTTATAAATGGGATTATACATTCTATAAATGGTGTTATAAGTACTTATAACTAATAAATGGCCATAACTGTTGGTTCCACTTAAACATGTTTCATTCAGGTTTCCGCAGATTCGTCTTTGCAAGCTCATTAGAGGACGCCAAAACAAAATGATGCGTGGTTTCGATCATGTGTAGGTCATTTCCATTCGCGAACAGCCATTGATTTTCCATTCGCTGTGTTGGTTTCAGGGTAAAAACTCTGCCCAGCGAATCGCGAATCGCGGGCCAAGGCGAAGTGAGCCAAGGGATGTAAGACGTCCTCAGTGGACACTTTTGAAGAGGCCGACGGCGCGCTGCGGCAAAGCGGGAGGTTTTGGGATGAAGCGAAGCTGAAAGAACCGAGGACTCCTCACGAATGATATATTGATGATAGTGAAATCTATGGTGAAATCTATGGTTAATAGTATATGATAATGGTTAATTCATGATGGATAATAATAATAGTGGATATTACATAATATAATATCTGCTGGTGACGAACCATGGAATTTTGACTGACTTTCCATTCAGGTGGGAATGGAACAATCATCCCAAGTGACTTTCACTCCTTCATTTTTCAGAGGGCTAGGTGGCTCAACCACCAACCAGATATGTCGTGATATTCTATCATACTTATACAAATACCCTCTGGTTATTTAACATAGCCATGGTATAGATGGCCCATAGAAATAGATGGTTTACCGAACTTAAAAATGGTGATTGTCCATGGCTATGTTAAATAACCAGATGGTATATATATATACATACATACATAAGGTTTTGTAATTGATCTGGGGTCTCTGGAAATGGATTCTTGGGTCTTTCCAAATATTCTATATATGGTGGAATTGACTTGTATTACAGGTAGCTTATTATTTCCCCTGTGAGGTAACCAATTGATTGATTAAATGGGTATCATCTTACCATTGGTTATTTAATGTATCTACTTGTTTTCCACCGTGTTCATGGATAATCACATGTGCAGTATTATTTTCAGTCTTAGGCAACCAATTTGTTGGTATCATCCCAGTATCGATTACGTTTTTTTTTCTATCATATTCTTTGGATTTTCAGGGGTGCACTACCATTTCCCTTGAAGGGTACCCGACCAATTGCTGGATTAAAATGGAATAGGTATTAACCACGCTCATGTTTCTTCTAGGGTGGTGCCCCCATATATCTTTGGTATAAAGCCACCAATATTGTCCCTGATGATCACTCTTTTTTTCAAGTACTAAATTTCCCCATTTTTCTACGTCTACATCATATATCCTTTAAATATCTTTAAATGCAATGTCCAATTATAATTTTGCCGAACTCAGGGTGCAGAAATCTGCACATTGACTTAGGCACCTTTTTTTTTGACGATATCCTAGGTGCTTGGTCGGGTATTGCCTAAGTCAAGGTGCAGGTTTCTGCACCTAGACTTGGGCAATACGGAGGTTGTACCCTGGGATTTAGGAAAAAGAATTGCCGATGTCAGGGTGCAGAAATTTGCATGTGGACATAGGAAACAGCCTTACTATTATATTCTACCATGATTTTTCCTGCAATGGATCCGGGGTCCTTTATTTGAGATTTAGGCAAAAAAAAATTGCTGATCTTTTGGCTCGGGGGACCCCAAATCCATCGCCCCCGCGAATCCGTCGCATAACAATATTTTATTGTATATTTATCTAAGTACTCAACCCAAAAAACTTATCTGAACTACGATCGAATGGTGATCGTTTGTTCTGACTGGTACTTCGACGAGTAGAAGGGTAAATGGATGGAGAGGCTAGTTATCAATCCCCTTCTTGGCATGACTACCGAATGACGGATAAGAATTGATATTAATATTGAAACATCCAAGGGACACTAAGCCAATACGATTTTTCCTTTGGGATAAATTTCACTATATAGTATTTACCAAGGCCACCTACCTTGATAAATAAGATAGGTAAAGAAATAAATTTTGGAAAACATATATTATCACACAGCTGGCTTTCAAGGCATAGGTGGGTGGCTCGGCTTCATTTTCCTCCTTGCAACGCGTTGTGAACTGTATGAGCACCTTGGAATCGCACAATCGCGCGCAGTTGTTTTGGCCCAACCTACAGTAAGAAAAGCGAAGCCCCTTCCCAGTAATTACCAGTATGAGCGGCAGCCGCCGCTTTGAATGGAGCAGGCGCTTTCCTGCAGGGCCTACTGACTGGATGATCCTGGACCACGCTGATGCATGCGAGACCGCTGCACAAGCCCCTGGGTGGTTCATGCCCCGACTGAACATCGTGGACCAGGGCAACCATGTGTTTTCGGAGTGCCGCTTTCACAAGTGGTGCGGGGAAGAGCCCGGAGTGGCTTTGTATGATGCTGAGGAAATGGATTTTGCTGCGTGGGTCAACTACCCCGCCGGCCAAGTTTATGTTCAGGAAGTCCCCCCGCCACTGGTGGTGACGTGCAGCCTGACCCGCATTGAAGAGGGGTGCTTTGAGGCCGTCTTCACAACAATGGCTGGTGAGCGGATCTTGCACATCCCCAGAACTTCGAACCTTTCGGCAAGCATGGAAGAGCTCGCGATTGATGCTGCCATTGCCGCCGTGGGCCAGGGGCGCTTGCAGAGCCGCAACCGACAAGTATAAGCACTTTGTTGGAAGGCCAGGCCGAGCCGCTGGGCACCTTGCCCGTTTCAGATTTCTGGTGGGACAGGCTAAAGCCGCAGGGTGCAGTAGAGTGACAAGAGTATGGCGCGCGGTGATTCAAGTTTGAAAAAAGGTAGCTGCTCGTATGCGCATGCCCATCCTCTGGTTGTCTCACTGCGCCACATACCTCATACTACTTTTAGCATAACAGCGAGACATGAGCACGAGCCAATGTGTTTGCATTTGACTATGGTGAATACCCACGCATTGCCCTGCCGAGGGAAAGTTTTTATCACACGCTGTCCATGTTTCAAGTCAAAGCACGTCGGTACCTGTAGGACCCATAGTCTTTGCTGATGGCTCCTGTGCACGGACTGCCCTGTCCACCCAGGCCGCTTGCCGCATTTCGGTTTCAATTGCTTCTTCCCCCATTGCAAAGGCCTAGGGTTTTGCATGCTGGGACTTGTTCTTGCACTTGTGCGGACTGGACGACCACAGGCAGCAGCTGAACTCATGGAAGTTCTGGTGACGGCACTGCTGTTCACGCATGTCAAGCCA